CTTCTCCCTCCCTCCCTCCCTCCCTCCCTCCCTCCCTTCCTTCCTTCCTTCCTTCCTTCCTCCCTTCCTTCCTTCCTTCCTTCCTTCCTCCCTTCCTTCCTCCCTTCCTTCCTTCCTTCCTTCCTTCCTCCCTCCCTCCTTCCCTCTTTCTCCCTTTTTTCTCCTTCCTTCCTTGCTTCCTTCCTTTTCCCTTCCTTCCTTCCTCCCTCCCTCCCTTTTCTCCTTCCTTCCTCCTTCCCTTTTTTCTCCTTCCTTCTTTCCTTCCTCCCTCCCTCCCTTTTCTCCTTCCTTCCTTCCTCCCTCTCTTTTTTCTCCTTCCTTCCTTCCTTCCTTCCTTCCTCTGTTTTCTCTTCTCCCTCCCTCCCTCCCTCCCTCCCTTCCTTCCTTCCTTCCTTCCTTCCTCCCTTCCTTCCTTCCTTCCTTCCTTCCGTGGGAAGAATCCAGAGAAAGACATATTTTTGGGAAACATTAAAAAGGCAGAATATTATATTTCCCCAAAGGATCTTAAAGGCAGAAACCAACCATCCCCCACCCACACACACACCCAGTCTCTCTGCCCCAAACAGAAACCAGGTCTGCAGAAATGCAGATGTGATAATCCTTTCAGAAAGACTGGAGCCAGGAAGCTTGGAGCTGATGGGATTAGAAAGACAAAAGATCCCTAGAATCAACAATCCCTCACACCAAAAAAAAAATCCATCAGCCACAGCCCCAGGGAAGCAGGATATGACCTTTGGGACACACTAGGATTAACCCACCGCCATCAGAATACCAGAAAGGCAGACTCAGGTCAAAGTTCTCCAAACAAAAGCCCACGAAGGTATAAAAACCCACTCCCTACTACATGTGTTCTCTCTCTCTCTTTTTCTTCCAGAGCTATTTTTCTGTCCAGCTCTGCTCTCCAATAAACAGCCACCTTCTTTCTAAAGCAGTCTCCATTCTGATTATTCCCGGCTTGGACTGGACCCTGATGAAGATTTTTCTATCAACACTTCCTCCCTCCCTCCCCAACTCACCCCGTCGTAGTCTTCCTGCTCCTGGAGCTGCTGGGCGATGTACAGGACGGCGTCCACGGCCGACTTCAAGTCGGGGGGCAGAGCGAGGCTGTGGCTGGGGCCGTCGATGAACCGCCGCAGGTCCATGGAGAAGGCCTCCAGCTGGAACCTTGGAGGAGACGAAGGGGGTTGAAGGAGGAAGGGTCCCCTTCCCCTCGACTGGCCTGAGGCTCTGGCGGACTGCAACTCCCAGAATTCCCCAGCCAGCAGGGGTGGGGTGAGAGGAGCGCCGTTCGCCGCCTGCTTTGCACCCCGGGAAAAACATCCCGGGAAGACTCTGGGATATCCAGCCCGGCTTTTCTGCCTTCCCAACGATCCAACACTTTTGTGTTGCCTTGGTGCAACACGCACAGGACGGCAAAGAGGCTGCTTGACAAAGTGCTGGAAGTAGGACGCCCTGT